AAAAAAAAAAAAAAAAAAAAAAAAAAAAAAACTGAGAAGTTTAGAAAACTTAAAAAAGAGTTTAAAAGACTATGTTATGCAGAACAATAAACTGAACAACTTTTGTCACAGGGTTAAATCGAAATTCCTTACCAAATTTTAAATATAATTTAAAATTAAAAAATATATATATCTTTTCTGGCCTGGGGCCGGGCAAGTGCTCCCGGGCCACTCTGGTAGCCTAGTAAAAAAACGAAAAAAAAACTATGCGGTGCAGAAAAGCAAACTTTTACCTTAGGGTCACATCAAAATTCTTTTCCAGATTAAGAGTCCTTTTTTTTTTTTTGGCCCGGCTGAGGACGTGGTCCTGGTCGACCCTGGTAGCCACTTACATCATAACAAAATGATGAACAACGTTTTAAGGAGTAGTAATCACCAATATGCTCGAGACGAGAATCCAGCATCGTTTCCCAAATTCTCAAACTTTTCGCCTGAGAATCCAGCATCGTTTTCCAAATGCTTGAACCTTTTGCCCGCCCCCTGGGTGACCCCAAAGCCTCGTTAAGTGGCAGAGGGGAGGGCCCTTGTTGTGCTATTTGTGGTTAAACCACCAGTACCTTTGCCGGCTTGAAAAACAAAAATGGGGCTACAGCCGCATTTTTCGGGGGGTTGGTAGCGGTCTGAAATGACTTGTGGTGCCCGCATCGGTTCGTTTTTTTTTGGGCGCGCAGGGCGAACCTAGGCTCGGCATCACTAGCGAGGCGGGGTACTGGTGGTTTAAAGGAAGGATCAATACACGGCCCCAGCCAAGTTGAGAATGGTGACTGAGCCTCTCCTAAAATTTCGGAGGCTGGGGACAGGGCGACCGAAGGACCAGAAAAATTAAAAATTGTCCGATGCCGTGGGGTGGCACTAGGCCCAGCCCGGAATGAATAAAAAAAAAACATGCCCGCCCCCAAGCGGGCCCTGTCCTGCGTTCCCTAACTTTTCGGAGAGGCTCATTTGAATTCTCCTGATGTACTCGTCCTCGTCGGTTGAACCGGACTGCTGAATTCTCTACCCTGTTCAAGTTTTCTGAAGTATTTTGCGCGCTCAAAGCTTCATTCATGTGCAGATGCCTTCTTATCCTAGTGCTTCACGCGTTCGAAATGCGGCTGGCTGTGTATGGAAAAGAATTGACCCTTGTAAACACTTGCCTTCCCGGCATTCTCCTCGGCTCTGGTATTTGGAGCACCAGAGGCCAGTGATGCTGTTATTTACTACAGTGTGGAATGTAGAGTAATTGATAGATTGCTTAGAGAAAACAAGCGGACTCGTCGCGGCGATGTCACACCGCATGTCTCATCCTGTCTACACACGGCAGGATCAGAGTGGGCGACAGCGCGACGCCACACCCCAGGCCATAAAGTATACATCTTTCTGTTTATGTCTTAGAATCTGATGCTCTTTAGATATTTTTGTTGGGCTCAAATGAATTCGACAAGCTGTGTTGGTTTGACGATACCTTTCATTCACTGCATTTGTTTCTTGTAGAACATGTTTTGTTTCGGGCAAGTCATTTCCTGATATTTAAACAATCTTACATTATGTTTTCAATCTTACATTATGTTTTCAATCTTATATTATGTTCCAAATTCCAATGCATTGATAAGACATTTTATTTGTGCCCGACTGTCTTGTGCTGATGTTTGTTCTTTTTTTTGTTTTGCTTATGGATGCAGTGGCAGTAGACCAAACGTTCTGGTTGAGGTTGTCAGGGGACAGAATGTTGGCACACTCTTCCATCGGGTGAGTCGTTTGACTTGGCACATTCAAAGGCTTCATGTCCGCCTCTCAAGATTATGGTTTTTTTAGTGCAAAATATGTCAGTTCATGAACTGTTTCGAAGGAAAAAAGGGCTTTAAATTCTGGAATTTAAAGCTATCCTGATGACTAAAGGAAAACAAATCAAAGCGATGTCTGTGCATGGGGTACTAACTAGCCTCTGTGGGTGTGGGTGTGTGTGTGTGGGTGTGTGTGTGTGTGTGTGTGTGTGTGTG